AAATTAATAAAATCCAGAAAAAGCAGCAGTGAAACTGTTCCCTGGGAACAGTTTCCTCTCATATGGTGACAAAAGAAAGCCCATATCAGGGTTATTATATTTAGCAATTAAATTCTTCAGCTAAAGCAAAATATTATTATTTTAATGGAAGAAAAACTAGAACACTTGGTTAAAATGTTCTCATAGAAATGTTAATTGCCACAAGCATTAAACAAATGGAAATCAAAGCCTACCATTTGTTGAGCACTTTAGAAAAGTTTTAACACAAAGAAGTGCCGGAAAGAAACCTTCAATTTTTCCTCATGAATGAAAGTAAATCCCTGTAAATGAAGCTGCATCTATCATGCTGCTAATCAGTCAGCAGCCACAGATGTATTCCATCAATCCAAAGTGTTTCTGCACAAACTTTCCATAAAAGCTAATGGAATTAATTTGGTTTGGTGGGTACCAAACTGAAAAGGAAAGAAGCATGCTCTGCTATTCCATCTTGGAGCCCGTCATGCAGAGACAACAATAATTCCAGGTGGAGCTAACAGAAGTACCTGTGCACCACCTCCATCTTCCACCTTGGGTTTATCCTCCACTTTTGCCTGCAACAGATGTGGAATCCTGTATCTTGACTCCCTTCCTTTGAAAGGGAACAGATCCCAGCTGTCCAGGGGGTAACCTTAACTTGCAGAATAATTTCCTGGGCATAGGAGCAGGGGTTTTTCCTGTTTCTGCAGAGAACCCCAAGCTGGTGTACTCAGTGACAGTTTGCTGAGTGGCCAAATGCACTGAGACAGCTTCTGCCCTCAGATGCACGTGTTCAGAACAATTTGCGGTTCTGCACCACATTCAATCTACAAACCAGAAAGAGATTAGAAAAGCAACTCTTGTTTATTTTGTAAATTACACATTACAAGTTAGTATGATCTGCTGGATAAGCATGCAACCCAGACTCTTGAATATTTTGAGTTACTGATCATCATCCAATACAAGTAAACCCATTATCACTTGCAACTACAGGTGGAACATTCAAAATAGAAATCCCTGCAAACCAGATGATACTGCATTATCAAAAAATGCTGATTGAATAATTGTATATGTTACCTAATGGACACACACATAATTTAAACAAGAATTTTTTTTTCCTTTAACATCATCTTTGTTGAACATCATGGTTTTGTTGAATACACTAACCAAACAGTAAATTCAATATGATTTTCATCACATCAAACAATACTCCACCTAAAGTGGTATTGACTAGTATGAACAATGGTCTTGGCACATTAAAATATGTATTTATGTTTTGGTCAATGATCTTCTGGAAGGGAAGGAAACTATTTTATTTTCCAGCTGAGGAAATCCTATAACTGTAAAGATAATTAATACCAGAGGAAGTAAATAATTAGTTCAAGGGGGAATAAATAATTACTACGACAGAAAAACAATGAGGTTGTAGTCCCTCCTTCCTTATTAGTTATGCACAGTCCAGCATATGACTGAGAAGGAAAATTAAGATGGAAAAGTTACTAACACAAGAGACGAAATAAAGTCTCCCAAGGGTACAGAATATTCGGTTTTCAAAACAACAGAAGAAGGATAAAAACCCCAACAAGGAGAGCAGAGGAGGTGAAATGGGAGGTATTTCAGCTTTGCAGACTGCCCTGTCAGTGTTCTACCAGGCTGGGCTGAGGGACCTGCAGGGAGCTTTCCTGTGGCACGACCCTGCCTCACCCCGCCGTGATGGAAACGCTCTGGCAGCCCAGTCAGACGTGCACACCCAGCTGACTGAGCTGCAGCCTGGCTCTGGGAAGATTTCCACTGGATTTTAGTAATAAACCTTACTTTCATTTCATAGGCTCAATTCTGAAAGCAAGGGGCCGATACCACAATCCTGGGTACCCAAAGCAAAAGAACAAAAACAGAACAAAGAGCTCCGGGAGTTTAAATTCTCAGAATGTCACTGGTGCAGTTGAACATCAGTTTTCTATAAGCCACCTTGCTGATGAGGTTCTCTACAATCAGTGGAAGGGTGAGTAAGACTTCAGAGAGCAATTAATACCCCTGATAAACTGTTTGGGATGGATGGATGGATGGATGGATGGATGGATGGATGGATGGATGGATGGATGGTCCCTCTGCTATGAGCTCTACCACAGAAACCCAGGCTGGAAAGGACCTTAAAGATAACCCAGTTCCACCTTCCACTACCCCAGATTGCTCACCCTGGCATTGGACACTTCCAGGGATGGGAACTCCACAACTGTGCACCATATAGAGACTTTACATGATTAATTACCTTATTTTGGGGTAGAGAAAGCTGCAGAGCCTGTGATTTTTTGCTTTGCAAAAGAGAACTCAATGGGCAATATGAATAAAACTTACAGAGTAGTAAGGCACCCAAACTGAATGGGATATTCCTTCACCAGATGTGGACCACAACAGTGCACAGGCCAGGGAGGAGAAAGCAGTCATTCCCTTGGAGGTCAACTGGGAGAATCCCAGCAGATCCCTGAAAAAAATTATCAATTCCATCATTCCAGCAATTCCTGGTCGTCCAGAGGAATGGAGAGGAAAGTGGTGCAACATCCCACAATTCTGCCAATCCTCTGCTTCACTTACAAGACAAATTTCTACGAAGGGTGCAAGGTGTGCATCCCAACAGAGATGCTCCTCAGTCATGTGGGGGTGGCCACATTACACATGGGCACGATAAGGATTGTCAAGATCTGAATTTTCATAGTTTCCATGGTCTTCTCAGAGAGCCAAAGTTCTATAAATCAATCATTATATAAAAATAACGTGCTCTTGTTACACACAGGCTTCTGTCAGTATACACTGACCACGTCACACCCTGACCACTGCCTCCCAAGGCCTGATAAAGGAGATTTCCCATTTGGGATGTTTCCCAAAGGTAAGTGTTTGCCTTTAAAATAATACTAAGCAGTACCTTTCCACATTACCTTCCAATCTGTACTACCACCTCAGTCCACAGGCACGGTTTTCACTTCAGTAGGAGATTTTGAGCTGTTTGCCTTTATCTTGTTTACTTTACACAAATGCTATCTATTCCTTTCTTACAGATGGATATGATCTGCTGAAGACCTGGAACATTTTATCCCATAGCAAAACTCATTCAAAAGTACCATCTGTTCTTCCTGCAGGGGCACAGTAATGCCAGAAACTGTTTAACATTCCATAAATTAAGACCATATAATGGATAGCTCATTGTTAAAGTGAAGCAAGGCATCGCTTGGAACCTGATGACAGACATTTTGCTGGGGTTTTGCCTTAAAAATAGTATCCAATGTATTATTTTTCGTTTGTTTTTAAGACTTCCCATTTGACATTAAATAGCAAAGGTGGGTCACAATGTGACCTTAACGTCTGGTTTAATCCCCACTTCTAGCAGAATCCTGTTTAATAACTTCAGGGAGAGAAAGACTCAGAGTGGGCCACTGGGTTATAACAAATTCACTGCAACACCAAATCCTGTTCTCCTTTCCCCCAGTGTGTGTCTGTTGTATCTGCAGGATACGCTTCCTAAGAGAACAGAATTCAATCTTCAAGTTTAAGAGCCATTAAAACATGTCTTATTTTATAGATATTGCACTTACTGCACTCACACACAGCTCCACATTCTGCCTTTCATTCACGAGTAAGAAAACCCAGCCAGAAATTAACTGCCATTTGCCATTCCTTTCTACACCCCAACGCTACAACATTTAATCAACAAAAAGGCTGGACATAAGGTCCTGCTATGAGTATGTATCATCTGGGTCAACACTAAAACAGCCTTTATTTGCCATTCATACAAGAAAACCACAGAATAAGCGGGGGGGGGGGGGGGGGGGGGGGGGGGGGGGGAGGGAAGAGAATTACAGCAAAAATCCCAAAACACACACAGAAGAAATCAATGGTATTTAACTGGAAGAAAATGGCTCTGTAGAATGCTGCCCCAGAGTGGGACACAGTGGCCCCATGCCCAGTTCCTGGGGTTTCCTGTCCCCTGTCACCCACAGCTGTGGGAGCTGGGCTCCAGCAGATCCGTGAAACTCCCACCCCAGGGAGCAGGAACCCTGCCCGGACCGTCACAAGGACACCGCTCCCAGGGAACCATCACCTCAAAACTCAATTATTTCAGCCAAGAAAGTCATCACTAAGGACCCTGTATGGAAGTGTATATAATCATTACCATCTCCTTGGGAAGCTCTCACACCGCAATAATAAAAGCTGAAGAAGCAAAGCACTTTTAGCCCAGTCATTCCTAATCCCAGAGACAATGCCTATATTTTTCCATCACATCAGATCCTGGACGGTGGGGGAAGGGCAGGAGTGTAAGGAGAGGGGGAAATGCAACTTGAGAAGTGGTAAGTGTGTCAAAATCTAAATTACTTGGAGATATTTTGCAGCACAGTCCTCCTTTATGCCGGTGCAGCTCGGTTCATATGGCTCACATTCAGCCTGTCACAGTGAATCATTGCTACTCCTTGACTTGCATCAACAAAAACAAACCTAACTTTCGCTCCAGCCTGTGAGGTAAAATTTTGAATTCCCACTCAAAAGGCCAGAAGTGGCATTGAAAATAATTGTTTTTGTAAGAAGCTCACTTTGGGGAGAAAACAACAAAAAAGAAAAAGTCCATGAAGATCTGACTAATAGCACAAACACATGTGCTGCTTATGAAGCATTTTGCAAAAAAGCAAAAAGCTTTGTCCACGAGCAGCCAAGACGGAGCTTTAGCAGCCTTAACTAACAAAGCAAACCCGCCCCTCTCTACTTAAGTCTTTAACTGCATCAAACTGGAGATATTTAACAACAGCTTTAGAGCCTAAAGAACAGTTAACAAGTAAATCTGGAAAACAAAGTACAAAAGTCAAAGTGAAACCCAGCCAGATACAAGCTCTGCAAATAGCAGAACACAAGGCACAAAGCAAAGCCAGCACTCAAAGTTATTTTACACTCCTTCCAGCAAATTTGCAGCAAATGTCCAGTTATGAAAGATTTCTGCTGACCTGTGTATGAGCAGCAATGCAGATGTGGCGAGTTCTCCTGTCACCTTTTGTTCCCAGCCATGTCAGCTGTGCTCTGCTCCAAGTGCTGCTCACACTCCCAAATCCCCTTCTCTAGTTCTATCTTAGGAACTGCCCAGATTTTGTAGTGTAATCTGAGCAGGGAAGTACCATGTGCCTATGATATGGTTAATTCACTTTTTACCCCCTGCAAAGCTTAAGGAAGCTGCTTCACATTTCAAAGCTGAGCCTAGGGCTGCCTGACCCAGGTACAGCCAGGGCAGTGCTGGGGCTGCCCCCTCCACCCCACCCTGGAACAGCTCCTTTCCCCTCCCAGAGCCCGGAGGCATCCAGGGGCTGCTGAGGCTCTTGTCTGCCTTCCCCTGGGTGCCTGGTGCAGCAGGGACCCCAGTCCCAACACAGAGGGGGCCAGCCCTCCCTGCTGAGGGCCACCACCACAGTGCTGGGGCCACCACCCTCCCCATGGCCAAAGCCACGGCTCTTCACTGAGGTAGCTCTGGTGAGGCCCCCTCAAGACTCAGCAAAGCCCTGGGCATCTGGTCTGGGATCTTTGGCAGTGAAGATGTTAAACAAGTTGGGCTGGAAGAGTCCCATCTGTTCTCTCCAGTGTTGCCATCAGCTTAGTGATTAACACTATCCAAAAACCAAGCCTCGAAACTTCGTCAATTAACTCATCTGTTAATATTTTTCTCTTGTTATTGATCTGTTTCTGGTTTGAATTTGCAATTATCATCACGTTTGACAAGAAAACTACACTGAGAGAAGAAGGAAATGCCTCTTCTTCCCAAATTCTGAACAGGGGAGTTGCACCCCTTGTGAAGCTGCCCAGCAGAAAGGCACCAGAGAAGGTGCAGAGAAGAGAGAGAATAGTCCTCAAATCCTGTAACTCCAGCTCATCCAGCCCCAAACACTGAGCACCAGCTCCAGGGATAACAACCAGCACCAGCCTGGTACAGGCATTTCCTGAGCGTTTGGGCTTGAGAAGGTGAGGTACAAACTGACCAGGGCTGTGCTATTCCCCAGCTTGTGTCAAGCAAATTCCCTGTAATCCCAGTGTCAACATCATCAGTGACCCAGCCACTGCTTAATCAAGTCAGGGAGGCCAAGGGAGCCCCACCTGGCAAGGGAAGAGAGGTCTCTGGTCCTCTTTCCACCAGCCCTGGGCACATGGGGGAGCAGATAGAGCTCCTCTTCAACAGCCAAGAGAGGGCCCCTAAAAGAGATTAAAGGGAAGAAACAGTCAGGGATCTTGGAAGAGAAAAGATGTAGGACAAAAATGGCAGAAAACAGAAAAGCTTTGGGGGAACTTTAACTCTTGGCCAGAAGGCAGCAAAGCAATTTCGTGTAAGGAACCTGCTTTTTAAATACTTGCCCTGGTACTTAACATCTACAAATACCTTGTGTGGGATTTCTAACAACTGCATTCTGCATGTTTGAGCTTTCCTGTCTTCAAACTCTTGACCTTTATTCTAAAACAAAGGTGAGAGCTCGATCTTCCCTGTTGCATAATTTACTAAACCCAGTTACGTTTGAAATTAGCATGTGAGTAAGGTAAAACTTGGAATAATGTAATGGACTATTTCAGAGAAAAATATATATTCTTCAAGGATGAATTCAACATAGCTCAGAAATTTGATCTCGATCAGTTATAGTTACAATTACTTACCAAAAAAAAAGCAACAGCAAGGAAGTGAAGTGACCTCAAAGGTTAGGAATGGAGGCCAACAGTTGTCTCTGTTGATGGCTGTGTTTAAATCACAGAATCATGGAATGGTTAGAGTTGGAAGGGACCTCAAAACCCATCCAGTTCCACCCCTGCCAGGGCAGGGACACCTTCCACTGTCCCAGGCTGCTCCAAGCCCCAGTGTCCAACCTGGCCTTGGGCACTTCCAGGGATCCAGCTGCTCTGGGCACCCTGTGCCAGGGTCTCACTGTAAGGAATCCACATCCCCAGGCAGCCCCTGCACTGCCCCCCAGAGCACCCAGTGGTGCTCACCTCACACCCCTGGCAGCCCAGGTCCCTAACCCCAACTCGTGTTGGTGACCCCTGACTTCTGTGCCCCCCGAGCCCTCCAGGTGAGGCCAGCAGGGCTGCACAGCCAGGGCAGGGCACAGCTTGCTGCAGGAAGCCAGCCCTTCACTGCCTGGTTTCATTAGTCTGCAGAACAGGCTATAATTTGCTGAAGTGATGATTAATCAAATCTTATTTTTCTCTAAGGCAGCTAATGAACAGCCAATTAAGTGTCTCAGTAATTCTCAAATAACAAAGGAATACTCATGGAGTGACAACTACCAGCTATTTAACAGCACAGGCATGGCAGTGCAAGCCAGCTTGGCTGGAAGGGCAGGAGGTGTGTGACCACCACATCACCCCAAAGCCACCTTTTTTTCCCCACTTCAGATCACCACCACCGCTTGTCCCAGACCTTTGTGCTCACTAGTATGGAGGGACAGGGAGCCCTCATGGTGCCACAGAGCCAGGGGACAGGAGATGGAGTGCCCAAGGGACTGGAGGGGACAGGAGATTGGGGATGGGGGGAGACAGGGGACTGGGGTGACCAGGGGATTGGGCATTGGGGTGGCCAGGGGACAGGGGATGGAGTGCCCAAGGGATTTGGGATAGGGTGGCCAGGGGTGCCCAGGGGACTGTTGACGCCCAGGGGATTGGGGACTGGGGTGGCCAGGGGACCCCACAGCACTCCCACATCCAGCTGGAGTTGCTGGGCACCCAGGGCCTGCCAGTTCTGCCTGTCTTGTGGTTCAGTTCACAACATTTCCAGCCTCCAAACAAATCTATGAATGCTTTGTTATGATCATATAAATCAGAGTAAGATTAAGATACATAAACACAACTTAGCGCAGTTACCCAAAAAGCAAGGAACGACATTTTTAAAAGAACCCATAATCTCTGTTTTTTGAAGTATTTCTTCAGTGGGAATTGTGTTGGAGTAAAGAATGCAAAACCTAGAAGCTTCCAAGAGGGGGTCATGTGAAATTACTCTATTTCAAGATTTTTCCAAATCACTAACATTTTGACTCTGAATGTATTTGTAAGTATCTGCCAAAAAACATCAAACCAGTCAATTTTTTTCAGTTTGTAACTGTCACCTTTTCTTTCATGTCTTAAAAAATGTTTTTGTAGAGACCTTATGTCATTTCTGTAGAAATTTCTGCAATCCACAATGACATTGCGTATTTTTTTCAAGTAAAAAGCAAGCCTCCCAATAAAGAACAAAGAACATCCTTTGTTTCAGACGAAGAATTTCAGGAGAAACCACAAAATGTTCAAGCAAAACATTAAACATTTGATTTTCCATCCATTTTGCCAACAGTCTAAGTTTTCCCATACTCCTAGTATCAGTGTCAATAAGAAGGGGAGGGGATGGGAGGCAGGTCAGATGCATGAAAGTCACTCTGCAACTTAAAAACCATTAATTAAATAAAGATGAAAACAGGATGTTTTGCAGAAAGCATTTCTCTTCTTTAAATTAGCTTTTCTTTTTAATGGGGAAACAAGACCTGCTTGATTTACCCATCAGGATAAAACTGGAAGTTGTTACTCGTGTATTTGAGAAATCCTGGGCTCTGCTCCTGAGAGCACCCAGCTCTGCAGCCACCTTAGTCACCACCATGAGAGTCCTGTCCTTTGTTAAGGCCCAAATATTACTGATGGCAGAAGTTATTTAGGCTCTTTAAACGAGTTTTAGAAAAGCAGGCTTAAAACCAAATGGAAACATTTCATTTTGAACCCAGTGGAGATTATCTGAAACACACACATGCTTGCCTGACACACTTCGCTGCCTGCTTTCACAGAATGGTTTGGGTTGGAAGGGACCTAAAGATCATCTAGATCCAACACAATTATCAAGTTCCAATTCTCAGTTAGTGAGGTTTTTCCCAGTGCAAAGACATCCCCCAGCTGTGGCAGCAACATGGAACTTCATGCAGCTGCATGTTAGAGTGCCACAGTGCCCAGCACTGCACAAACACACAGCAAACACACCTCTATTTCCATCCTCAGAGAAAGCAACCCCAAACCACAGAAACGTAAGCAAGAATTAAACACATGAGCTGTCCGGTCTAGACATATGCTTCATCTTCATGGCAAACATCATAAAGTGCTGATTTGTTTTTTAAATCATTACAGAAAGAGAGATTTTAGTAAATTTACGTAAACTCCAGTGAGTTTCCTTCACTTCAGTCTATTTAAATGCAGGAATAGAAGTGATGCACTCAAGTTAACCTGTTTGCCCAGACTGGAGAGATATTATTAAATGTTCTTGTTCTTTTACACATCCTAAATATTCAGACACTTGCAGCACCCCAGGGCATAGTGTGCTATGTCAACACCTTGAGAAGAATGCAAACATCTTAATACAAGTGAGGAGAGATTGCTTATCATGCACTCTGCTGTTAACATCTGCATTTTACAAAAGCTCACAAATTATTACACACACTTTCCACAGGACATATCCTCCTGGATATGCAGGCAGCCATGCCAGGAACCAAACAGCATGTCAGAAAGCAGACGGCATTTTTGGTTTTGCTCTAAAGGCAAATGAATGTTTCGGAGCATTCTGCAGTTCCCCTGAGCAGAGGCATTTACTCTATTTAATCAGCTCAGAACTGAGGGGTAAATGCCTCAAATCAATCTGCTTTGTATCACATTATATCCTTTCCAAATGGCCATCCAAGTTTTATACATTAATCATACCCAAGATCCTACACCCAGGACCATCAGACTGGATGTTGTAGTGACTGTATGACAGAGCTCCATGCATGAGGCAGATGAGATTAGAACAGAACATGGCATGCAATCCGATGTGAGTGTTGTGTTTATGAAAACTGAATAAATAACAAGTGAGCCTCCACAGAGCTGGTAGAGCCGCTGGGCAGGCTCAGCAGCTCAGCTCCTTCAGGTGGATGGAGGAGCAGCCTCTCAGTCCTCGCTGATTCGCTCCAGGAGAGAAAGAGACAAACCCAAAAGGCAGCAGGATTATCTTCAACAGTCTCATTAGCGGCCTGATGTAAAGCACTTGGTTTTGTCTAAAGCAAATTAGGAAGTGCTTGTGGGAGCTGTGCAGAGGCAGTGGCCAGCAGAGCCCAGAGCAGGGGAGGGTGGCAGTGGTCAGTGGGGTCAGGGACCTTGACCCCGGGCTCAGGGGGTTTCAGGAGGTGCACGCCAGTCCA